ATTGAGTTGGTGCACGAGTTATCGTCTAAAGTATGGCTCCGCGTCGCATTTTCGCCTATAGTACGGTGAAAATTTAGAAAATCTACAATGCGGTTGATCCCTGACTCGTCCATGCATTGTTTTTGAACACAGCGTCAGAGATTCAACAAGTGCTTATCAATATGAATGATATGATCAGTCCCTGCAAGTTGGCAACCTTATTGTTTGATTTCTTTCCCTACACTGGACGCGGAATAGGGTCCGTTATGTAGGACCCCAAGTGCTTCTAAATATATTCAGGGGTGGTTTCTCCAAAACAGCTTAAATGAAGCACTTTTGGATCCGCCCCAGAAGTGCTTTTTTTAAGCTCCGTTTGATGCCCTTTCCTAATAAGGACTTTTGGGCATCAATTAAGCACCCGGAGCACGTGCACAGCCACTAAGGGTCTTGACGAGGCGCGTCAAGGCCAATTTGTCTAAGTCCGTCACTACCTTCGCCTCATCTGCCTCTCTCACCTTGATCACCACCTCCTCCTCTCCCTTCCTCTACCCCTCCTCCCCTTGTGCTGTGATGTCCCTTCAAGCAACCGCTTCCCCTTCTTTCTCTTTGCTGTCCTCCAAATGGAGGACAGCAAATGTGACACCTACACCTGCTGAGAATGACGCATATATGTTGTGGTTTAACCGGAGTGTTGCTAGTACTAGTGGATTGGGTGATATGAGGATTTCAAGGAGCTTCGGAGAGGCGGATGGATGCAAATCTGTTGTCTGTTTGAATTCCCAGCCTAATCGTCTTAGAAGAACTTCACGTGCTTTTAAAAATGCTTTTATGTATTATTAATTTTATTAATAAATTTTATTAACTATCTATAACATTTACTAATGGACTGAAACGTTCATTAAATGCTTTTAAACAGCACGTCTTACCCATGAAACATGGGGTTGCATATCAACCCCAACATAGCACTCCGTGTGTTTGATTGACGGACCTCAGGGGGTGCTTCAAAGAAGCACTTTTCAACGTTGCAGTGCTAGTTCGCCAGACCATGTTTCAGAACCACGGTTGTTTCAGGTCCCAATTGCAAGCGCAATGTCAGACGTGGACAAGTGATGCAGGTATGAATGGACACATTGTTACATGACATGAACTCAAAACCTGCTACGTAAGTGCCCACTACGCGAAAAAGGATGCAATAACTGTTGACATTCGCAGGGACTTGCAATCATATCCTTCATATTGATAAGCGCTTGACGTTGAATCTCTGACCCCGTGTTGATTTAAAAACAACGCACGGACGCGTCAGGGATCATTCACCGTACTATAGGCGAAAACGCGACGCGGAGCCGTACTTCAGACGATAGCTCGTTGGTGCGCGGCCGCTACTCAACCAGCCATCTCCGCTCCAACGCGAAATGTTTGGGGCGCATCAACGAAATCCGATGCGGTACCCACTCCTTCACTCGGGCAAGGGTTGATAGCAGTCGCAAGTGGTCCGACGCCCTGTTTACCTCGTTGCGATTAAAGGGCCGATAATCTTCAACCAACCATCCAAAGTGCAGGTCCACTTGGTTTCGCTTCGACGTCACTTCTCTCCTCCAAGTTCACAACCGCCTGCTGGTCGGGTTTTCGATGCAAGTAACGCACACCCCTTTCCTTACGCCTACTCCTACTTCAGTCATAAACGACATCGAAACTTTCTAGAAGGCACCAAGATGCAGATCACCCGCACGCTCGTTCTCGCTACCCTCGCTGTTGGCATTGCAGCTCGTCCCGTCGAGCTCGAGACACGGGACCCGCAGGGCTCCGGCAAGGCGGTCAACTCTCAGAACCCGGGGCTATACGATGTCTTCCACATCTATTCCCAAGAGATGAAGGCGATGTACATTGCGAAGAAGGGGAACGCGGGAGGTGCAGGCCGTGCACCTCGTCGGGAACGTCGTGCTGCGTACAAACATTATGCTGCGGCTGAGGCCATGAAGAAAGCAGTCGGTGGCCGGAGCCCGGAGAAGTTGAACTAAGACTATTTATTCTATGTAGTACCTTGCATTCGTAGCGAATTCTGTAAATCATGCTATCCAGCTACTTAAGCGAACGCTATCCGAGAAATAATCAAGCTCATTTCCCTCCACATACCGTCAGATTTGTTGCGCCTCAGTTGTATTGCACCTTCCCCATTCGGTGAGTAAGATGGTTAAATTATTGTTGGATGATCCAGAGAGTTGAAAATGAGAAGAAAGATTGGTCAGGGAGGTGGCAAGGTTGCTCAATCCGTGTTAATGTATTGGTTT